TATATATATATATATATATATATATATATATTTATTATATATTTTTCAGGGTTCTTTTACAAATATTAAGAATATTTTTTACCACATTTTTGATCAATTGAATGCATCCTTGCTGAATAATACTAATTTCTTTTTTTTTTTTTATATGGCCTCAAACCATTGAATGGTAGTGTATATAGACTTTTTTTAAGTGTTTTATTTCTCCTAAAACTAAGTCTAGGGTCTCTTAAAAGTTGTGTTTTGAAATGTCTATAAATGGTCACAAACAACATGCAAAAATGGCTTGTGGTCGCTTCTGACAGCAAGAATGAGTAACTTTTTTCTTGTGCATTGGATTAAGTGTCCTAGAGTAGATACATTAATCTGAATCTACTGAATCAACTAAGGTAGAACACTGTAATGCTAAAATGGAAACATTAAATTTCCATTTCAACATTAAAACACAACAGAAACCATAGCAATGAACTCCATTCAGGTCATTAAAGACGCTGCCCACTGCGAATACATGGAGGGCTGGTCAGCAGGCCGAGTGCGAGTGTAAACCAATCTGAGAAAATTAAACATGAACAATAGGTCTTACTGGGTCAGAAGTCCGTTTTTACAAGGATCAATCTCCTTTGATGGTGAGTCAAGTAACACTGACAGAACACACTGAGCGCGCTTGTGTTAGTGCTGCTTCCGGAAATGCACAAGTCAAACCTTGCTTGTGTGAGAAAGCTCACACTTCCTACTGGATCCACGTCCACCAAACTTCTGCTCTTGTGTCTTTAATTAGTTCGAATCATTCGTTTACTCACTCTGACAGGGCTTGGCACTTTCACCCGTCTTATATCGTCGCCTACAGCCCACTCTCCAGCAACATTTCCCCCTACAGGACACTATTTGAGAAAATACGGGCGGGTGATGCACTTTTCTTCTAAATAGCAATTGAGCCAGAAGCCTGCGAGCACATGCGCTTCACCTAACAGACGCAGAGGGAGAGGAGTGGATGGAAATTGATTGATAAATTGAAGGCTTTATTTAATCCTGATTGATGACAACGGGGATAATGCTGGCGGGATTTGCAAACGGAGTGAAATTTGAACCTAAATGCTACTGACTGCATCTAGCCTTTTCAGACTCCATGATGACTGCTGATAGTAATTGCAAAAAAAAGTGAAAGAGGAACACAGATGTATACTCAGAGAAAACGCAGTTTCTGATATACAACAAGACTGCCCCCTAGTGCTGTGCATTTGAGCCCTGCACACACAATCAGACTTTAGGCTTGCTGCAGATCTTCTGAGATGCTCAAGAGATCTATCTGTACTTTTTGATTTCTGCCAAATCAGAATGTCTCATCCACCGCTTTTATCTTGTTGTGTGGTTGTGCATCATCCCATGGCAATTTCGTCCAGGTTTCCCAGCATCTTAAGCCCCCTGAGTCTAATTTCATTAAATGGCAGACAGCCTCTGAGTTTGAAAGTGTCTGCAGAGTCAGATGAATTTTCAAGGTACAACAGGATTACGTTAAGGTCAGAGCTCAGATAGAGAATACTCACAGTAACAGGTTCCTCTGAGAGGGTTGCCAAGGTAACGGTTTTCTGAATCACAACTGCAGAGAGGGGAAAAAAAACAATTTAGATGAAGTACATGAAGTAATGAGACAATGCAATATCTGATGCATGAATCTGAACATGCAAATGTCATAATAATTATTAAACACTAAAAATAAATAAATGGACTGTGAAACAAGAAAACAAAAAGGTTGTCAATTTAAAAAATAAAAAATAAAGAAATAAAATAAGGATCGAGATGTTTTGCGATCTAGATTTTTATTTTTATTTTTTAGGGTTTAATATTTTTAGCAGGGGTATTTTTTAGTAGTTTTTATCTGTACATCTGTGTTTTTTATGGCATGTCTATGTACACATGCATATGAACATCCGTTGTTTTCCCTAAAAACCAACTAGACAACCAATCACCTAGCTTATTTTGTAAATATGTTCTTTTGCATATGCTGAATAACTTTGTTAAACATTGAATCTATTAAATATTGCAAAAAATGTAACCTATTTATACTTATAGATCTTATTGTGAACAATTCATCCATGCATGTTTCATTATTTAAGAAAATTTCTGACCTTAATCAAAATGTCATAACCAGACATCTCTCCGGTGACATATGCAGGACTTCTCCGAACCTCATATTCATATGCAAAGTCCACATCTCAAAAAACAATCAACAATCGATGCATATCCAAGTCCCTGCCCTATATTATTTTATTTTCACTAATCTGAATGAAAGATCTGTGGCTACTTATGTTACATTGCGACATCCAGAGAAGAAAAAAAAAAACCTACTGCCACTTTCATACATTAAACCCATGATATTGAGGAAACAGTAGCCAGTACTTAGCGTTTGTACCATATCTGCATACTGCTACCATTTATCCAATATAACCATTTTTTAACATTTCTTTTTAACCTCTAAATAGAAAAATGGTAGAAAAAGCCATTTACGTATTTGTCGTATTTGTATCACAAAATGTTTGAATTTGTGTGGTGCCTGTGGTATCTTTGTCCCTTTCCATACTAAGGCAGATTACGTAATTCCACTCTGTTGTTGGGGTCCTTTATTTCCTCAGCTTCATTAGAGAGTGCCAGGAGACAGCCCAAAGCTTCCTCTACCTCAATCTCAAACACGCTAAACAATTAACACAGTGCTGTCGGCCCAGCTCTCCACCAGCCTAAGAAGATTACACATCCTGTTGCTCTTCTGAGCCAGAAACTGACGGTCCAATTAGAGTCTGCATTCATTTGAGAGCACAACTTGTTCACTCCCTCTCTCCTCACAGCAATCTCGCCACTTAGTTTCTACAGAGGGAATTCACTTTCGATTCACGGTATTGTCCTATAAGCGTATCTGAAGTGCAAATGCGATTAATCATTAAAGCCACTTTTAAAGTAAATGAAGCGATGTTATAGTTAATGCAGAATGCCGGGCTCTGGACTAGTTACTATGGAGCTAATCTAACACAATGCTCCCAGTTCACATGCATTACGGCCTGAAAAATACTTTATGTAAGTATGCAAATGCATTACAATTGTGCAGTCTAGCCAAATATGGCTTTAGGGTTTGTATTGAATGTGATGCAATAAAATATGCATGAAATCATAAAAAAAAAAAAAAGGTTTTCTATCAAATTGTCCTCACAAGTTACATGCAAAAACAAACAAATCCTGTAACTCTTAGCCCATTTTGGTAAGGGTGAGCGTGATTTGACCAAGTACAACATGTTCCTGGATCAACATCCTTGTTGATCCTGGAACATCATTCCAATTAACCAATCAGAACTGAGAGATAACTTTTCAGGAGATGTCAGTTTTAGGCTTTCAATCAGGATTAGGTGCTTCTACACCTTTGTTAATCGGCTATCATTTCCCTCTGATTTTAGGAATAAATTATGGGTAGGGCTGGGTATCGTTCAAAAATTTTCGATATCGATACCGATACCTTGACTTCGATACCGGTTCCTGAACGATACTTTTTTCGATACCAATTTTATGAAATCAGTTTTAACAACATTGAGTTATCTTAAAAAAAAAAAAACGTGGGCTTTATTTTTCCGCTTGTTGATGTTTATACAGACTCAAAGACTCATCTCCTGAGCCACTGCACAAAAGAACAAAATGTAACCAACACAATAAATCAGTGCATAATAGTTTTAATAAAGCTCAAATAGTCTTCAGTTTACACATCTGTTAGGCTACATTTACACTAGTTAGTGTTCGTTTTAAAACTCATAGCTCAGACAGAATCATGATTTCTATTAATTTTCCACTGATTTACTGATGAGCATTAGCAGCTTCCAGCGCTGTCTGCTTGTGTTCTCTCTTCCATGATCGCTGCTCTGACTCAGAGGTAATACCATATTTAATTTCAGCAACATTACATGGCCAAAACACACATTAGACGGCAATCGGAAGTTATTGCAAACACTCAATGGTGGTTTAAAGTGAGTTTTGAGTAAAATCTTATTTATTGTCTTATGTAGCATGATGCTACAGTGTGCACGAATGGTCATAACATGCGCTTTCGGTCGCGTAGTATGAATGAACGGACATCTGCACGATCGGAACTCCATGCAGCTTCCGCACTCTCCATTGGAAATGAATGACTTTCGGTCTGTCGTTTGTCAGAGATAGTGGAAAGCCGGCTTGAAACGCAGTGGAAACGCCAGTATGACGAGGATCGTTTTCATTTTAAAACAAAAACGCACCAGTGTAAATGTAGCCTTACATCTAAGGGGGCTGGGATGCATTCACACTACAGCCTTACGTGTGCGCCACATCTCTGAGAGTAACCGGTGACGCGGACCAACTGTGCAGACCGGTCGGTGTATTACAGTACCATGAGCGCTATAGAGAGCAGACTGCTCCGTACACTTTAGAATCGCTCTCGCGGATGTCAAGCACTGATCCATCTGTGCCGCGCCGCTTCTAGTCGAGCACACCTAGTGTTGCAGGCTTATTGGCTCACTGACATTGATGAGATTAACCCCTTAGGTATCGAAATTTGGTACCGAACGACGAGACGTTTTTCGATACTCGATGGTATCGAGGCAATTTGGTCGGTGCCTAAAAAGTATCGAACTCAATACCCAGCCCTAATTATGGGTAAGGTTAGGTTTAGGGGTGGGGATTGGGTTAAATCTGTATTTTTGGACAGTAATGTTGATCCAGGAACATGTCTTACTTGGCAAAATCACGGCGACCTTTTGGTAAGAGTTTTGTGCTTTTTACTAAGTGCTTTGGTAAATCATAATTATGATTAAAAAGTTTAAATTAAGCACATTATAAGTTATAATTACCACATAAAATGCTATAATTATGACAAAATGTCAATTAAGTAGAAACATTTTTTTAATGAATTTTTATCTTACAATTATGACTTAGCATCTCAAAATTGCAACTTTTTATTTCATAATTATGATGTCACATTTTTTGCCAGCATTTTTAATTTTATCATAACTTATTATCTTATAATTTCAATTTATGTCAATTATGTTTTTGTCTCTGGCAGATGTTTTTATATTAATTCCATTTTTTTTATCGCATAATTAGTATGACTTAGTATGCCATAATTTTGACTTTTGTGTCATAATTATGACATTTTATGTTATACTTTTATTTTACTTTTCAATTTATTTTATCAAAGCATTTTTTTGGCTGAAATGGGCTTTCATATTTATGATCTGCTTACTTAGCTGTTCATTTATTTGGGAGCTATTTTGATTTATGAATCAAACTGAATTGGGAAATCTGGATCGATATCCAGCCATGTGATAGTAAAATAATGGGGGAATAAATACATATTTACCTTTTAAGTACACCTACTAAACTGCACCATTCTCGCAGTTAAATAACCTCCATCTCATACTCTAAATCTCTTTGCCCTTAGCTTGCAGGGACCCACCTTTATCATAAGGAGCTGAAGCATTCTTTTTTTTTTTTCTGAGAGTTGGTGATAAATATGAGAGGACAAGGTAGAGTACACTTTTACCACGGTACAGAGGACACAGGACAAACTGCACCACAGGCATTTTAAAACCTCTGCATATCAGTCCCCTAGCCTTTAATCTGGATGACATTTCAGAAATGAATATTCTCTTTCACCCATACAGTGTAAATCAGAAGGAGAGGTTTCCAACGTTCATGCCCACATACACACAATGTACTCCGTGAGAGCGGTGAAACATAATGCACTCTTACTCTCAGTATCTTAATTTAATCTCCAGTGAGAGCGCACCTACACGCTGTGCATGCTTTAATGCACTCTCACTCTGTAGTGCCATAATTTGATCCCCATTTGGGTCACACCTGGAGTGCCGCAACACACACAACACACTCCATGACACTCCATCATGATGATGATGGACTCTACAGTAATCAAGCATGCTTTTGCTTCAAATTGTATCAATTTTCTTTCTTTAATCATGTGTATCTTTTCAAATATGTCGTCTGATAGCAAAGGAGAATGACGTGATGCTCTGAAGTCCCAATCAGGACTGTGAAAGGAAACTTTGAATTGCTCTTTCACAATGTCAGCGCACTAAAAGGGGGTCGGCGAGCGATCACTGCAGCACATCAGGTCTTTAATCAACCATTTTGAGTGTGATAGTATTTGTGCATGACAAAAATGGTCCTGGTGCTTCATTATGGACCTCGTTATGTAGGATGGGTAATGGCATCTGTCCGCTCTGAGTAATGAAGGAGAGAGAGAACAGAGTGAGAAGGAGAGGAATAAACAGGAAGTGGTAATGGCCGTCTCGACTGCAGCCTGTGTACTCATTTGTCCTTGTGATGAAGACACGCTTGAATACATCATCAATGGACCGGGCTTATCCTGATTGGGTTACACACAATTAAAAAACAAACATCTACCGGTATCCACACACACACACAAAATGAAATGACAAAAAAGTGTGTGTGTATTAGAGAGAGAAGCTTCTCCCAACATCTTAGATACCATACACAGCAGAATGCTGGGTTAAAATAAGTTTTCTCACTATAGAATTTGAAAAGCAAAGTACATTTGATCATTAATCACTTCAGTTGTTTGTTGCTCATAAGAGTCATTTGTTCATAAATCAAGCAACACGGCTGTGTGAGCCTGAGTCACTAAAAAAAACAAATCATAAGAGTCACTTGTTCAGGAATCAAAACTACACTATAAAGAACCAAATCAGAAGAGTCACTTGTTCAGGAATCAAAACTACACATCACACTATGTTTTTGATTTACAAAAAAGAACCAACTCATGAGAGCTGCTTGTAGTCAGTAATTGGACTACACTGGTCAAACACTAGGTTTTTGATTTACTAAAAAGAGCCAATTCTTGTTCAGAACTGTCAAATGTACACTGGTCACTTTCTATGTTTTTGATTTACTAAAAAGAACCAACTCATAAGAGTCGCTTGTTCAGAAATTGGACTACACTGGTCAAACTATTTTGATTCACTAAAGAGAACTACTCGCTCGTAAGAGTCAATTATTGCTCAGGAATCAAAATACATCGGTGATACTACATGTTTCTGATTCACTAATAAGACTGAACTCATTAAAGTAACCTACCCTTTTCTGTAATTGGAATATACTTGTCACACTATGCTTTTGAATCACTAAAAAGAACCAGTTCACAAGAGTCAATCATTTGGGAATTGAACTATACTGGACATATTACATATGTTTTTGCATAGTAGATTTAATTGTGATGTTGTAGTTTACAATATACTGCCAGAGTATTTTTGTATTGAAGAAACACTGTGCAAGAAACATTAATGTAAATAAAACAGAACCGAATGTCATTCAGTTACAGTATTAGCAATGGAACCAGTAAAGCAAAGGAAAAAAATTAAGTGCACAATGCCTTCCATGATGACTTCTCCTCCCGAGACATTACCTTACTACAGTGTACAGCTGTAGCTATGTTTATGATGAAA